GTGCAACCTCTGTGAAAATAGCTTGGAGGTTCCTCCAAAAACTCCATACAGCATTACCACCTAACTCTACAGTTCGCCTGGATGTATAGCCAAAAGAACTGAAAACAGGAAGTCTAACAGATACTTGTATGTCAGTGTTCATTGTGGTATTTCTCACAGTAGCCAAAAGGTAAAACAAAACAAGTTTCTATTAGCAGTTAAATGGATAAACAAAATGTGGTGCATACAGAAAATGGAATGCAGTTCCAGTACTTACTGCAATGTGGATAAGCATTGAAAACATTATACTAAGAGAAGCCAGACACAAAAGGACAAATATTCTTATATGAGATAACTGGAAAAGGCAAGAGACAGAAAGCTGATCAGAGATTATTACCAGGGACTGGGGAAGGGGAAAATAGGGAGTTTTTGTTTAATGGCTATAGTTACTGTTTGGCGATGAAAAAAAAATATATATATATACAGTGGAAATGGTTGCACGACCTTGTGAATGTAATTAATACCACTGACTAAATTGTATACTTAAAAAGGATTAAAATGGCAAGCTTTATTCTGTGTGTGTGTGTGTGTGTGTGTGTGTGTGTGTGTGTGTGTGTGTGTATTTGTATCCCAATAAAATAGTTTAAAACACATAGTGGTACTTATACAGTTATAGAGCAAAAATATTTAAAATTTTTATAATAGTCTGACAACTTTATAAACTATTTTGAAATTTAAATAGGTATTCTATAATGATAAGTAATCTGCTAAACATTTTAACCCAATATAAAAGGTTAATTTTTGCCAGGTTAATACTTTTGACTTTGGGGGCCTAAACACAGAAGATAAAGGTGACATTTAAAGTCTATTTGCATTTTTTCAAATATATTAACACAGCAACTCTATACCTATTTGTGACTATAAATATATCACTCCACCTCTGCTCAAACCTACTTATATCAATCAGCATTTGACACAACAAAATTCTTATGTAACATGAAGAACACAGTGGTAAAATACTGTGCTGTAACCTTTTGTCTGTCCCATCCTATATTGACAAGAGGACATGTCTCCCTTTTAATACTCATTTCAAGACCCTGAGTTAGGCTGTAAAGAATATATTTTCATTAAAAACTAAAAAATGTATTTTAAGTGTATTCATAATACTCAATTCCTACTGAAAATATATTTGAAAGACTTGATTTGGGACATTCTCCAAAACTTTGCTAATTATTCATCTTATTCTTTAAAGTCTATCCTCATATGGAAAGCACTCATCCATTCATCCAACACAAATACTGAGTATCCACTGAAAGCAAATGCAAGCTGCTGAAATTGCAAAAGTAAGATAACTATTGACAGTCTTTCTGTCTCTGACAGAAGCTTCACAATAATGGAGCCCACTTTAAGATCTTTGATGGTAAGGATGAATTTGAACCATATTTTGTAGAAAAAGGTCATTGGTTTGTTTTCTAAGATAGGAGAGAGAAATTATTTAGAATTAAAATTCTTTTTACAAAATAAGATTTTTATAATTTAAGAAGAAACAAGTAATGTTTTGGGTTCTGGAATATTAGTGGTTCTTTATATTCATCTAAACATGATAGCAACTTGGAGGTTTATTTCACAGGTCTTTCTTGCCATTGATTTCACTGAAATTTCTTCAAGAGCTTTTCTTTTCATTTGAGAAAATCACATTTACTTCCTATTGTATCACCTGTTTCTTGAATAATTTTATAAGTTACTTTGTTGTTTTCAGTCAGAATTCATAGTAACATTGAAATAATTTTCCCTGAACTGCTAGGTGCCCTGCCCCACACCACCCTGAAATTCAGGATCCAGGATGACAGAACATCCTCTATGTGGTGCACTGCTGGGTGTTTGGCGGAAGAAGAGGGAGCCCTGCAGTATCTTAAACTGACAAATGCTTCTGGCCCACAAACCACACACATATGGCCATTGGACAATCATTTTATTAGTCAAGTCTCATAATCATTACTAACTTCCAGTGGGCAACAAAGTACAAATAAACCATGTACTCAGAAAGAGACTAGGATGTTTATAAAGTACCCTAAGTGTAGCACACCTATGAAATTTTAGTTCAGTTCATTTGAAAATTTGGATATGTAGGAAAATCGGTAAAAAATTATCAGAAAATGCCTCAAGAAACAGAAAACATGAATAGACCCCAACAGTTATGAAAGAAATTGATATTAAAAATTTGCCTCTTCACACTTAAAATGACTATAGGCCCAAATGATTCTACAGAATAGATTTACTAAATTTTCAAGGATTCTAATTTTATGCAAACACTTTCTGAGACTAAAAGATATTACAATGTCAAGAACAGGGAAGGATCAGAGATTTTTATCCCATTTGCAAGTTAATAAGTTATTTGGCCAGTTTCTTGTATACTGGTGGAAGATACAAGGCTCCTCCTAGTCAGTGACAAAGGACAGTTCATTACAGCATTAGCCATAGTGACAGCATTTGTGATGGATATGTGAGCTCCATTTCCTGTAGGGTATCACAAATGAAACAGATAGTATCTGCACATGCAGTGGGGTGAGTTACATGGGAGAATGCTGAGCTTATGAAACTCCAATATTTTATAACAGGAATTAAATATAAAACTATGTACTACAAACCTGCCCTCTGTTCCAGAATGGGGGCACTTACTGTTCCATGACTACTTGTTATACAAATATCTTTGAAGTGGCATCCTGGAACAAAAACATTACCTATTCACTTCCTCCTCACTTAAAAAATCACCCAAAATTAGCATTAACCATCCAGTGATCATTAGTTGCTCTGCCAATAAAAGCTTTGCCTAAGCCAGAATGGGCCAACATCACCTTCTGGCATCAGACCTGGGGATTTTTCAATGCAATATCTTCCTCACTGCTGCCTTTTTCCTTCATGCCATCAATAAAGAAAGTCAACATTCACAAGGATATTGTTATGCCAAGAGAGAATTGAGGCTGTCAAGGGACACCAGCAGGTGTGGTACTCTACTCAGAAGTCATCTTTTGTGCCTATCTACTCTGGCTCTCCTGTTTTCTGCAACTGTACCATTAATACTAGTACGCCTTTGACCCAAGCAACTGAAACTTTGAATCTGAAGAACCTAAGGCCTGTACGTAATCCTTATGGGCAGAAAAAAACAGCATATTCTTAATAATAATTATTTCCAATAACAATATTACCTGATCCCTAGCCAGTATTTGTGAAGAAGCTTTGGGGAATACTTGTGTTGATGCAGTAGGATATTTAAATTAAAAAAAAAAAACTCTTCCCATTCCCTCTTTCTCCTACACAAATACCACATTTTGAAAATAGTAGTTAGTCCAGAAAAGCTGTTGAGGTTGAAATTTCCTTGTCAGATGCTCTCCCAAATAGAGTGCTTGCAGTTGAGTGAAAGGTGCTCCAGTGGAATGTGGAAAGATAACATTAAAGTTTATGTTATTCTAAATAGGAAGAAAAAGAAGTTTTAGTAATTCTTAGTGAGGCCTGACACTGGGTTGTCATGATGGTTGTGTGATGTTAGGAAAAACTGAAGTTTGACACAAAAGGGCTGACTTCATTGATTTGCTTATTTTCCACATGTTGCAATATATGAAAGTTTACAAATGCTCAGCTAAGAAGATTGTGTTGTGTAGTTTTAGCTAAACTTCCAGCACAAAAGAACTTAAGCAGAATCATAGAAAGAAATCAGTTTGAAGATAATACTAATAATGCCAATGAAAGCAACAATAAAAGAGGACTTACACATTATCCTAATGAAGCTTTTTGTAAGTTGTAAAACTTAATAATTAAAATCAAATCCAATATGATAGGAAAATCAATTAGAAATTATCAAACCTATTTGAAATATATCTGCAATTTATTCTAAAACATCATTTAGTTCATCTTTATCACTTCCTTCTTTCGTGTTTAAATCTAAATATTTCTAGTAAATATAAGGTATAATTAAACATATGTAAACAGCAAAATAGGATTGTTCCTAACTAAAGAGCTTTGACTTTAAATAATTACACTGGGACTCAGGTGAATGCAACCTTGCTTTCTAAATAAGCTACCTGATATGGAGCATGACATTTAACATCACTCAATTGTTAAAAAAGATGAAACAGGCCAGGTACAGTGGCTCAAATCTACAGCTACTCAGGAGGTAGAGATCATGGTTTTTTGTGCTGTCCCCACTCTTTCACACACCTACACTGAAACAAATACTTTAAATAAGCAATAGGTAAGTCAAAATGAATTATCAGTCCTTAGAAAACTTTCTAAATGCCTTAGATATTGTATGTTGACCAACCAACAAAAACAGATTGTCATTGGACAAGTTTATACTCAGGCTCTAAGTAATTAGCATGCATATATACAAAGAAAAATATCAGCATTTCATAAGATAAAATATTTCCCAGAAATGTAACAAGGGACTATACTTTCTCAAGATTTGTTTTTTATGTACCAGCCAGTCTTTGAGTGGGCCCATGCTTTGAGATACGTAAAAATTAAAGCTAACTTTCTTGGAAGGAGTACCATTATGCCCATCCAGTTTATTCAGTGCTAAAACAAGAGTCATTTTTCTCATAGAACTTTGCTCAAAAAATTGGACTGAATGAAGCTCTAAAGTGTAAGTTGGGTGATCGGAAGTTACGAACAGCAGGTGTAACAGCAGTTGGAATGACAACCTTAAATTTAGAAAATGTCGTCATATGAAAATCATTAATTTAATCTTCACAAGTCGTGATAAGATGGTACAGACGAGAAGTCTGAGACCCACAGACATGAATAGCGTGGGCCGAGTAAACATCAGAGCTGGATGGCTAACTCTCCCCACCTTTAATACCCAGAGCCAGAAGAGGCTCATCATTTAAAAAAAAAAAAAACTGTTAGAAACACAACACCAATGAAATCAAGATAAACTTTGTTCATGGTGCTGTGTTTATAATGCAGTCTCCTTTCTGAGCGTGTCTCTTAATGTAATAACCTTAATTTGTTCATACATTGCCTAGGTTTCCACAGGCGGGCAGCTCCAGTGACACGAAGGCAGTTCCCGCATGGTGCACACAGGATGGACTATCTGCATTTTGAAGACGACAGCCGTGGATGGTGGTTTGACATGGATATGGTGATCATCTATATTTATTCAGTGAACTGGGTCATTGGATTCATTGTTTTCTGCTTTCTTTGCTATTTTTTCTTTCCGTTTTAGGAACTATCATACCTTACTACTATTGAACAATCATAAATGTTGTAAATAACTATTGCTTAAACATTTTTAAAATGTGCTTTGAAGATTTTATAATGTTGCTTATATAAATTGTTGGTGTTTATAGAAAGCCTGAGAATAATGGATTTATTTATTAATGTTTTTCATGTAACAAACTAAACTTTATTCAAGAGCTAATCTATCTGGCACTTAGCAACAATGCACTATTAATTTCATAGTTCTTGGTTCAGGATTTGGGGCTCTAATTTTATGATGTCACTTTTATACTTATTTTGACTGTAAAAAACTGAGGTTCTTCCCTCCACTTAAAAATAGTAAAAATACAAAATAAACGATAACCTGGGAAGATAGTCTTTTTATTCATAAGACATTTAGTCAATCACTACTTATTTTTAGGCAAACGATATGCATTAAAGATTAACCATGTTCTCTGGGAACTAATCAAGCAGGGTATATTCCACTCTGGTTTCTAATTATCTCTGTTAATGTCCCTTCTATTGCCAAAAGCCTGACTGTCCTTTTTGTACAGTCTTAATAATAGCTTCAGTGAAAGATTTTTAATTATTATAAGCAACAGAATAGTAAATACAATGAGACTAACCCCCACCAATACATACTTTAGAGAGCCATATTAATACTTTCCAGTTTCAGGATGAATCACTTGAAGAATAAAAAAAATTACTGATTTTAGTAATCTAAAAGTGCAATGCATGTTCAAAATGTAATTTAGTGATTCATTTAACTAGAAGATTATCAAATATATTGTAAATGTGCAATAAAGACTAGTTTTTAATTTTTACTGTTATAATTGATTTACTGTCTGGAATAAAGAATTGTTGGAAATAGATATGAATTTATAGAAAGAAATCTGACATTTATTGCATTTATAATATCATTACAATTAATTTTCCTTATTAAAAGAAGAAAACAGATGATTTATTCCAATGTGGGCAGGAATTGGGGAAGGTATCCCAATTTCCCAAGTGAGAAAACTGAAGAAAAAAGAGACATAAGTTTACTTATTCATTTTCTCAGGTGATTTTTGTGAAATCTAGGGAAAAAGATCTTAATGGTGTATATTAATTGTCCATAGCCTGGTGTTTCATTAGGACATTTTTACATGCATACTGTTTAATCATGTTGACCCATCCATTACACCCTCTCAATCCTCTCCACTTCCCCCTTTCCCTTCCCATTCTACCTCTGTATTCTGCCCCTCTTTTTTCATGATGTCTTTTCCCTCCTCCCCCCAACTTCCACAAGTAAGAGAAAATATTCAGTACTTGTCTTGGTGGGACTGGCTTATTGTTGCTTAACAAGATGCTCTCCAAGTCCATTCACTTTTCAGCAAACAACATAATGTCATTTTTCTTAATGGCTGAATAAAACTTGTGCATATACACCATATTTTCTTTACCCATTCATCCATTGATGGGCACCTAGTTCATTTCTATAATTTGGCTATTGTGAATAATGCCCCAATAAACATAGGTATATAAGTATCTCTACAGTGAGCTGACACTGATATGGGGTACATATCTAGAAGTAGTATGGCTGGATCACATGGGGGTTCCATTTTTAAAAGTCTGAGGAACCTGCATACTGATTTCTATAGTGGCTACACTACAGCCACCTATGTTACCATTAGCAATGAATGAGAGTTACTGTTTCCCCACATTGTCCTCAGCACGTTATTGTTTTCTTGATAAAAGCTATCTGACTGGGGTAAGGTGGAATCTCAGTGTACTTCTGACTTGCATTTCCTTTATGGCTAAAGATGTTGAACATTTTCCCATTTATTTATTGGCCATTTGTACTTCATTTGAGAAGTCTGTTTAGTTAATTTTCCCATTTACCAAATGAATTATTCATTATTTTGGTATTTGACTTATGTGGCTTTTTTTGTATTTTGGATATTAATCCCCTATCTGATGAATAGCTGGCAAAGATTTTGACAGCGCATTATGTAGGCAGTTTAGTCAATCTGGTAGTTGTTTCTTTTGATGTACAGAAGCTTTTTAATTTGATGTAATCCTATTTCTCAATTCTTGCTCTTACTTCCTGATCTATTAAAGTTGTGTTCAGAAAGTTAACTGCCTATGCCTGTATTTTCAAGTGTTTTCCTGTAGTAGTTTCAAAGTTTGAGTTCTTATATGAAGGCATTTGATCCATATAAGTGATTTTTGTACAGGGTAAAAGATAAGGATTTAATTTCAGTTTTCTACATGTGGATATCCAGTTTTCCCAACATCTCTTGTTAAAGAGGCTGTCTTTTTTCCAATGTGTGTTTTTTATATCTTTGTCTAGAGTCAGATGGCTGTAATTGCTTCAGCTTATTTCTGGACCTTCCATTCCGTAGGTCTATTTATCTGTTTTTATACCAGTAACATGCTGTTTTTGTCACTGTGGCTATGTAATATGAGCCATATATCCAAACTCTAGTTGAGTCTTTAGAGTTTCTTAAGTATAGGATCATATGATCTGCAAACAGGGATAGTTTGACTTTTTCCTTTACTACTTTTATCCCTTTTATTTCTTCCTATTGCTCTGGCTAGGAATTCCAGTACTGTATTGAATGCACAGAGTAGACATCCTTGTCTCATTAATGAATTTACAGGAAATGATTTCAATTCTTTGGTACGATGTTGGCTACAGGTTTATCATGTATAGCCTTTCTTATGTTGAAGAATATTCCTCCTATTCCTAGTTTCTTCAGGGCTTTTGTCATGAAGGGATGTTGAATTTTTCATAAGCTTTTTCTGCATTTATTGAAATGATCATGTGATTTTTTTTTGTTCTTCTGTTTCTGTGTTGTATATTTTTTGATTTACATATGTTGAACCATCCTTACATTCTTGGAATAAACCACTTTTGATTATGATGTATGATATTAATGTGTTATTGAATTTTGTTTCCAAGTATTTTTTGAGGATTTTTTTTTTCATCTGTGTCATCAAGGAAATTGGCATATAATTTTCCTTTTTTGTTATGTCATCTCCTTTTAGTATCAGGGTAATTCTGGCTTCACAGAGGGAATTTGAAAGTGTTGTTTCCCTTTGTATTTTATGAAATAATTTGAGGAATGCTAGTATAAATTCTTCTTTAAAAGTCTGGTAGAATTCAACAGTGAGTCCATCTGGTTTTTCTTTGTTGGGAGGGTTTTTTGTTTGTCTTTTTACTGTTTCATTCTTATTGCTCATTAATGATCTGTTTATTTGTATTTTCTTCATTAAATTCTGGTAGGTTATGTATTAATAGTATGTACCAACTGTTCCAGATTTTCCAAGTTATTGGAATATAAACTTTCAAAATAGTCCCTAATGATATCCTCTGGATTCAGTGGTATCTATTGTAATGTCACCTTTTCATCTCTAATTTTATTAATTTGGATCTTTTCCCTCTTAGTTTGGCTAAGGGTTTGTCAATATTTTTTTCAAGTAACTAACTCTTCGTTGCATTGACCTTTTGTATTCTTTCAGTTTCCATTCTTTCAGTTTGCATTTAAGCTCTGATTTTGTTATTTCTTTCCTTTTACTAATTTGTAAAATTAGTTTCTTTTTGTTCTTGTTTTTCTAGGACCTTGAGGTACATTGTTAGGTTATTTACTTTAGGTTTTTCTGATTTGTAATATAGGTATTTGTATCTTATACTTCCCTTTTAGAACTACTTCCATTGTATCTCAAAGGTCCTAGTTTGTTATTTTCATTTTCATTTGCTTCTAGGAATTTTTTATTTCTCTCTTTATTTCTTTGACAACCCACTAATCATTCAAAAGTGTAGTCTCCATGTGTTTGTATATTTTTTGTAGTTTTTCTTACTGTTGATTTCTAGCTTTATTTATGAAAAATACAGTTTTTGTAGTGTTTCTTATTGGTTTCTAGCTTTATTTAGGAAAAATTTTTGACAACGAACTACTAATCCAACATTCGTGTTATGATGTCTTATACCTGATGATTCAATAAGCATAGCTTTACATAAAATAGGTGACATTTGAGGTATTTCAAATACTTATACTTCGGAAACCATTCAAAAAAAATGGAATAGATTGGACGGTACCAATTTAGTCTGTCAAAAGTCAAAATTTGACCTAATTACTATTAACTGCATTTGAGTACCATCATTTGACTGATGGTAGGTGATGTTCAAAGCAATATAAATGAGAAGTAAAAGTTTTTATTCTACTAGTATTCTTATTACTGGGTTTTAAATTGTATGTGTGAAAGAAAATAATAGAGCAAATTAGCCATTATCAAATCCCAAAAAGAGAAAACTAAATACAATTTAGAAAGAGGTAAATTTGTGCTTAAAAATGGATATTTACAATCACTAATTTATTGCTCAAAATAAAGATAATATTATCTAAGCCCTCCTATAATATGTATCTAAATTAAAACACATATGGGGAGGGTAATATTTTAGGAACTTTAACATAAATTACAGCCATTTCTCAGGAAACTCCTGGCTTATACACCCTAAAAAATATGTCATTTGTTCCTACATAACTTTAAAAGTTTGTTTTGATTGTATGTAAATTAAAGGAAATGTTATGCTATAGATACATATTTCTCAGAAAAACATGGTTCATTAATCATTTCACTGATTCATATTAGTGTATAACTTTGTATCTGTAAATTAAATACAAATACACGTGATACCCATCTGTAAAAATAGCATCCTTAAAAAAGAAAGCAAAATCTGAAAGAACATTGGAAATGGATGAATTTATAACTTAACCTAAATTATGCAAATTGGCCTATGAAAATTAAAAATAAATTTATAAGGTATAAATCACTAATTTTACTTTTATATACAAATGAAATTAGAAACTGCTAACTAAGCATAGCATTTTCTATAGCTACCAAGTTATGAGAAACCAGATAAAACCTGAGATAAAAAGAAACTGAAACAGTTCCAGACCACACCAAAAGGACAGGAGTCAAATAAACTGCTGGGCCGTTAGCTTGTTGCTTGTTAAAAGCACG